GGTCTAGGCCCAAAACGTCAGCCTTCCTGCTCCTCTGATGCTGCTTGGCCTGCTGTGTTCATCCAGCTCTACACCTTGTTATCTCAGATTCTCCAGCATCTGCAGTTCCTACTATCTATGTACCAGACATTGGGTTTCATCAGACAGTACCAACCACTGATTGGTGCCCAGCTGGAGTACTGTGCACACCAGACTATAGATGCTCATGTAGTCCAGTTACCTAGACTGGAGGGTCTGATCCATGAGAGAAAACTGGATTGACTGGGATGGTTTTTCATGGAGCAGCGAAAGGTGAGAGCAGGCTTGATCAGATTGTGCACAAGTTTATGAGGGGCATAGAAAAAGTAGACAGGAAGGTACTTTTCCATTCGTAAGAGGTCAATCAACAGGGGGCAAAAAGATTTAAGAGGTAAACGGCTGACTGGAGAGTTGAAAATTTCTTTTACATTGAGGGTTTTAGGAATCTGGAGCTCATTGCCTGAAAGGGTGTTCAAGTCAAAAATCCTTGTAACTATGAAGCAATATTCAGACGTGCACTTACACTGTTATAGCCTCCAGGGCTGTAGACCAAAAGCTGGAACATAGACTTGGTTGAGTCAGATATTTTTGACCTGCAGGGACATGCTGGACTGAATGGCCTCCTTCTGTTCTTCAACAATATTGAATTAACTGATATTGAAGCAAATGGGTTGGGCTGTGTGGTTGGAATGAAAATTGAGACAGTGTGGCATGTGTCAGTAAAATTCTTTCAGATACGTAGCAAGGTACCATAGACAAGTAGCCTAATCAGCCCTATAGATGTTCATATTCCAGACAGGTCCCCTCCTCCACATGTTTACCTGGTTGTCCTGTATGTGGAATTAGTGAGATCTATGTTTACTAAGTTACTGCAGTGTTTCTGAGTAAGTTGTAAACAAACAGGAAGAAAGTTTGAGCTTTTGTCGATGCCAACCGCATTTCAACATTTAATCAAAACCTGATACTCTTGCTCCACTTCAATATATATTTCATGTTCAATCCTTTCAAACCGCATTGAAGTCACTGAAAATTAGCATTCATCTACACACCGCTGACTGGATCCCTTGAGAAAGCCGCAACACCAAAACAAAGCCAGTTTCATTCCTTTCCTCTCCCAAATACATTATCATACTTAGAGAATTCCAGTTAAAATCGGGCTGGAGATTATTGCCAAATCCAACCTCAGCCAATCACACAGAGGCATCTCAATGCCTTCTTTCCAATCTACTGTGTGGCTCAGCCAAAATCCTCATGGCTCCAGCAATGACTAAAGGATACAGCACAATATCAATCGTCAACAGTTCATTTATTCAACTTCCATTTACATAGAACCTTTTGAACACAGTGCAAGATTCCAAGGTGCTTCACAGGGACATCAGACAAAATAACAAAAAGCCATTAGTAGTATTGTCAGGACAGGTCGGCCGAAGCATGGTCAAAGGCTTTAAGGAGTGTCAGCGAGAGAGGTTGAGAGCGAGAGCACAAGAACAGAGAGAGAGGGGAGATCGAGGGAATGGGTTTCAGAGCTTCATGCCCAAGTTACAGCTGTCAATAATGGGGCAAAGAGAGTGGAAAGGGAAGGTGCATCAGGCCAAAGTCAGAGGAACACAAGGCTCATGCAAGAATGTACAGGCTGGTGAGGCAGTGCAAGAACTTTGGGATAAGAATGGAGACATCACCAGACTGGAAGCTAACATAGGTTGGTGCTAGGTATTAAAGACAAGGCCATTCCCAGTTGCTTCTTCAGGTAAGGCACCTTCTTAAACCAGTGCAATCAGATGGAGTAGTTACTTAAAGGGTTCTCCCCCAACAGTGAAGGAGTGGTGGTACAGAAGGGGAGGGGAACCTGGCAGTGATGACTACAGATGGTGGAAGTCAAGAGCTTGGTCCAAATCACACTCTCCAGTTTCATTGCTCTGACAGAGTGGTCGAATTCAAATTCAAAAGAACTATGCTTTGACACAATTTTGGGTTGTGAATTTTGCCAAAAAGGTCCACATTTGGTCCTCGTCTCTAACTTCCCCTTGAGAAGACGACAGTGAGAGAAGGCAGAAACTTGCTTGGCCATTTCATGGTGTACGACTAACATCATGTGTTGGCATCATTTCAAGGGCAGGTCCCTATCACCTACAGGACACTGGAAACCAACTCAATTTATCAGACCATCTGACAGCTTCATCTCCCTTCTCATTGAGACCACCTTCTTATTTGCAGGAATATTGACATATATTTTTAAAGTGGACTGAACTTATTCACAAATGGAGTCAAAGCAGAGAAGCAACTTTACCAGACAACACCAATTGCAAGTGATTGGCTGAAGAAGCAGAGGGGAGAGGGGCTTATCTTTTTGTATTTATTTACTGTACTACCTGTATTAATTTCAGATACAAGAAAAGGTGGTGGAAGCAGATTCAGTTGTGACTTTTGAAACACACGAAAAGGAATAGTTCACAGGACGATGAGGAAGAGCAGGAAACTAGAATTCATTAGGCAGTGCTTTCAGAGCCATCACAAGATCAATGGGCCGAACTGCCACCACCTGTCTTGAATCAATTTGTGATTCATTGATTAATAGTGCAAGCATCTGGTTGTTGTTCCAGTTCATTATCAGTGTATTACTCTGTTAAAGGGTGGAAAGGCTGAGGACTCCAGCACTCTCACCCAACATGATGCAGCAAATATCAAAAACAAATCCCTTTGAAATGTACCATTTAAAAATGCTAGGGATTGCTGTGCGAGACTTGATTAAAAGAGCATGTGAAGGGTGGAAAGGGAGCTGGTCCTCTCCCTTCCACCTGGCTTTTACATCAAGGTGCCTTGGCAATCAGTCCGCCTGCTATTTCCACTGGCTGCCCAGTCTCCTTTGAGGCCTCATCCGTGCCCAACTTGTTGGGATAAGTCCGTTCTCCGAAGATGGTGCTTCCGACCCTTACATTGGTCGCCCCCAATTCGATCTGCCAGTAAAAACAAAAACATTGGACAATGTCCTGCACTCCTCGGCTTGTCAATATCTGCCTCCCCCTCTCCCATAGACATACACCCCCATTTCCTGCACAAAGCACTACTGTCTACACTGGACAAATGTGCCAGGCTTGTGCCAGTCTTGCCTGTTCCACTTCAGTGCAGTTCTTCGTAACAAAAACTTTACCAACTGCAGGCAAGTTTATCTTTGAAAGAAAAAGTCCACGTCAGCACAGTTAGAATCAGAGTTAGCTGCAGCACAGGAGCAGACTATTCAGCCCATCATGACTGACAGGACTATTCAGTTAGTCCCACATTAACATCTCTTTGCCCACATCACTGCAGTTCTTTCCTTGCTGAGTTGTTACCACTGAAACTGCTTCCAAAGCCCTTTCAGGTAGCTAACAACCACTTGCTGAGGAAAACAATTCTCACCGTCTGCCCTCTCCTACGTTGCTTGCTCCTGCCAAACTGAAGCAGAGAGTTCTATCAGCAGCTGGGAACTGAGGCCAACAAGGTGCTGAAATTGAAATGGTGAGAGGCAAGTCAGTACCCTATACAGGTATCCCAGGCAAGGACAGTAGGGAGGAGAGCGCAACAGACAGCTCCAGCAGAGTTTCACAATCCTATCGCATTTCAGGATGTTCAAGACATGTCCAAGTGACAGATAAACAGTCAGCTCGTTGTTGTTTAACTTAGGAGGAAAACACCAGCAGCTAATTTAATGTTAACTGAAAGAACTGCAGATGCTGTAAATCAGAAACTAAAAACAAATTGCTGAAAAAGCTTGACAGGTCTGGCAGCATCTGTATTGAGAAACTAGAGTTAACGTTTCAGATCAGTTCCAAGGAAGGGTCACTTGATCCGAAATATTACCTCCGATTTCTCCCCATACGTGCTGCCAGACCTGCTGAGCTTTTCCAGCAATTTCTGTTTTTGTGTTTGCAATTTAATGTTTGTGGCATCTTGTCGTGTGTTTCCTGACTGCTGATTTTCCTTAAATACCACAATGACTATACTTCAGAAGTATTTAATTGGCTGTAAAGCACTTTGGGACGGGAAAGGAAGTATAAAAAATGCAAGTCGGCTGGTTCTTTTAATAGAAGTAGGTCAGGAGTCGGGGGAGGGGACAGAAAAGGAAGGAATCCCAGTCGAGCGTGTGGGTGTTGGGAGCGGAAAGGCCACTCCCACACATCGCCGAGCTGCCACTGCCGGTAGGGGAGCTCTCCCCTGCCCTGAGATCATGGTGAATGACACATAGCATGGCTGCACATTCAGGTAACCTAGTGACAATGAGGAAATCAAGGCTTCTGCCACATTCTGTGCTGTGCGTGTCACTGTGGGACCCTGCAGGAATTAAAGCAAGTGTGGTGCCTGCCACCCAGATGTCAGTTGTCCCAACACAGACAGTCTGGAACACATTAGAGTCAAAACCAAAAATATTTATTTGTGCAAGGAAATGAGAGATTAGAAACCCACTGGAGAGGAAATCCAGAACAATTAGAGAGACTTACAGCGTGTTCATAGTCTGTTGACATGCCCATGCTTAGTTCCACTGTTTCCAGAGGCAGGTTTAATTGATCACAAAGTTCCTTACGACGAGCTACCAACACCTGAATCAGCAAAGAAATGAACTTGGGTCAGGAGTTGAATCCAGTGCTCACCATGATAATCTCTGGGCTCTTCCCAGAGGCAGATGAGCAAGTCCTCCCCCACAAAGAATCACCATGGAACAGATACCAATAGCCCATCGAGCAGAATCAGTATGCGTTGCAAAACTAGGGCTGATGTCTGACCAAGCCCCAGCAAATTGATCACAGGAATGCATCACAGAAAAGCTCAGAACAATACGTATTCTCAAACATATATGAACATGGAAGGCTGGGAAGGGAGACAAACCGCAAGACATGAAATGAAAGGTTATTGAGTCCCTTCAGCTTGACTGAGAGCAGTCCTCGGAATTCATACCGAGTCCCGCTCACCCATCAATCTTGTATTAATGGACCTCCCCAGCTCTTGCATCTAACAACATTTCAATTCTGGAAATCCTCATCCTAGTTTTCAGACACGCCATGACCTTGACCTTCCCTATTTTCTCCGTTTCCTCTAAACCCAAAACCACCTGAGCTCTCTGCACCACCACTACACCCCCAAAAAAGAAATCTGGTACCTTCGGAAGGCGCGGGCAGTGACGACTAGGCCTTGGCCTGTCTTGGCCCTGACTCTCTGCATTTAGCTCCTGCTTCAAGATGCTCCTTAAAACCTCCCTATTTGATCCTCTGTTTGTTCACCTATCCCGCTATCTCCACTTGTGATTGTTTAGCAGAAACTGTTGTTAAGTCTCTTGGGACATTTTGCTCCATCAAGGCCACTATATCAGCACAAGATGTTGATGAACAGGAAGAATTATAGTTGGTTCAGCATTCAATCCACCACCTTGGATGTTCATTCCTGTCACAATAGCAGCAATGTTGATGCACTGCAGCAACTCAGCCAAACTACTTAGACAGCACCTTCCAAATCCAGAATCAGTACCACCTAGAAGGCTAACATACCCCAGTGGGGCAGACAGGAATACCCTCCAAGCCATACTCACCATCCTGACTTTGAAAGATATCACTGTTCCTTCAGTGTTGCTGGGTCAAAATCCTGGAACTCCCTCCCTACCAGTATTGTGGGTTTACCTACAGGCCAAGAACTACAGTGGGTCAATGTCCTTTAGCGAAGGAAACTGCCATCCTTACCTGGTCTGCCTACATGTGACTCCAGACCCACAGCAGTATGGTTGACTCTGAACTGCCCTCTGGGCAATTAGGGATGGGCAATAATGGTAGACTAATTACTAAAGTTAGGTCACATGGGATTCAAGGAGAGCTTGCCAATTGGATACATAATTGGTTTAACGGTCGGAGGCAGAGAGTATTGGTGGAGGATTGTTTCTCAGACAGGAGGCCTGTGACCAGTCATGTTCCACAGGGCTCGGTTCTGGGTCCTCTCTTGTTTGTCATTTATATAAATGATTTAAATGAGAATATAGAAGTCATGGTGAATAAGTTTGCGGACGACACCAAAATTGGTGGCATAGCAGGCAGTGAGGAAGGTTTTCTAAGATTACAAATGAGTCAATGGGTTGAAAAATGACAGATGGAGTTCAATCTGGATAATGCAAGGTACTGCATTTTGGTCCAACAATTAACCGTAGGGCCTTGGGCAGTGTTGTAGAACAGAGGGACCTAGGGGTGTAGGTACATAATTCTTTGAAGTTTGCATCACATATCGGCAGGGTGGTTAAAAATTCATTTGGCACGCTTGCCTTCATTGCTCAGTCCTTTGAGTACAGGAGTTGGGAAATCATGTTGAGGATGTACAGGACATTGGTGAGACCTCTTCTGGAACACTGTGTCCAGTTCTGGTCACCCTATTATAGGAAGGATATTATTAAGCTGGAGACGGTTCAGAAGAGATTCACCAGGATGTTGCCAAGTATGGGAGGTTTGAGTTATAAAGAAATGCTGGATAGTCTGGGGCTTTTTTCCCCCGGAGCGTAGGAGGTTAAGAGGAGACTTCATAGAAAATTATAAAGATAATGAGGAGTATAGATAGAGTTAATGGTAGTTATCTTTTCCCTAGGATGGGGGATTTCAAGACTAGGGGGCATATTTTTAAGGTGAGAGGAGAGAGATTTAAAGATACACAAGCAAATTTTTTTTACATAAAGGGTGGTTCGCGTGTGAAATCAACTTCCTGAGGAAGTGGTGGATGCAGGTACAATTACAACATTTAAAAGACATTTGGATGGGTATATGGAGGGACAGTGCCCAGGACCAGGAAGGTGGGACTCCATTATGTTCAGCATGGACTGGTTGGTTTCTTTGCTGTAAGACTCTATGCCTCTTTCAATACTGGTCTAGCTGGAGATGCCCACATCCCGTGAGTAAATGAAACAAAAAAGAGACAGTCGACTGCTGCCCTCTCCAGTGCACTTGAGGACAGGCAACATTGGCTAACTGAGTTAGTGATGCTTCACATCCCGGAACCAAATGAATTAAAAGAAGTATGTTCCAACAGTGAATTAGATCATGTCCGATCACTATCTCAACTCCATTCACTTGCCCTGATTTCATATTACTTGATACCTGCCAACAAAAACATGAATGGGTTGGCTGATGGCCTCAGGATAAAGAGAAAGAATCAGGCCAGTGTTGTACTAAGGAGCCACAAGATTGCAATGACAGCATAAACCTGTGTCTGTAGCTAAAGCTTAGTCAAAAACACCATTAACAATGAACCAATCCAAGTCGATGCATTTACACATTTCAAAACCTGAGCCAGTAAATCAGAAACCAAAGAAGTGAAATGATAAAAGCCAACACACATACTGAGCTGTCTTCATTCTCTCATTAGACTTGCGTGTCATTGGCTGTGGCTGCCCATCCCCAATTGCCCTCAGAATAATTGAGTCACCACACCACCTCGCCGTGGGCCTGGAGTTACACTGAGGCTAGATCAGGTAAGGACAGCAGATTTCCTTGCCTGAAGAGCAGGAGTGAATTAGATGGGTTTTTACATTAGAAAAACAAACTAAAATTCACAACGGCTCAGAACGCGACTTTTTTTGAAAAACCAAATCAGAAATGTGATGAGCTACGCGTGCTTCGTTCTTAACAAATTAAACAACACAGCATCAGATGATTAATGGCTGTTTTTGGATTGGTCATGAACAACTGTGTTTCCACTAAAGCATGCAAGGAACAAGTGTAGGCCACGTGGCCCTTCGAGACTGCCACGCCATTCAACAAGATCATGGCTGATCTGACATTAAGCTCAACTCGACATTCTTGCATATCCCCAATAACCTTTTGGTCTCTTGGTAATGAAGAATCTACCAACCTCCAACTGAAAAACATTTAAAGATTCCACTGCCTTCTGATGGAGGGAATTCCAAAGACTCGGACCCCTCAGAAAAAATGTTTCCTCACTTTTGTTTTAAATAGGCGACCCCTTATTTTTAAACAATTTTAAGAGCAACAGCTAATTTGGCACTTAACCCCTACGTCACACCCTGCCTGAATTTAAGACAGCAGACTGAGACACTGAGAAACTTGCTAAAGTAAGGATCAACGCTGAGAGGGGCACCTGGCCCAAAAAGTCTGCCTTTCCAGACGAACTGTCAACACAGAAGGTCAAGAGGCTCAGTTTTGATTACCTAACCCCAAACTGTGTTTTCATCTTTAGCTTCTATGGGTTGAGGGCTGAAAGGCATCTGATCACTGGAAGGCTCACAGTCACGACAGACACACAAGATTGCCGAGCCTGATCTGCCCTTCAATGATATTCTGGCTGGTGGACCAGATAATGTCCTGACAAAAGAGGATTCCCCTCCACTTTTAGTTACTTCTACATGTGCTACCTCACCAGTGGATTATTTTACAGCATCTTTCACTTTTCTTGTGCAAAAGCAAGAATTTCTACTGAGCTCAGTCAGTTTATTCAATCCGTGCTTGAAGTGAAGTGATTATGGTCTTAGACTAGCTATCCAGATACCATCGTCGAATTCCTGCCACAACAGCATGACTACTTCAAGTCAGATTCAAAAAGAACACTGGAATTTAAAAGCTCATATCAGGCTGACACACTTTGTACACAGTACTGAGAGAGCACAGCACTGCCAGAGGTTCTGATTTTCAGAGGAATTCCAAAAGCCTATGCTCAAAGGTGGATCTAAACAGTGCTCTAACACTGCGTCAAGAGGAGCAGCAAAGTTCTCCCTGCTGCCTGGGCCAACTTTATTCCTCAAGCAGCATCCAAGACACTCCTCCTCTGGTCATTACCAGGATCCTCCTGTGCACCAATGGACTGCCACCTGTCTATACACTACATCACAAAAGTGCTAACACTTCAGAAGTACTCAGTTCAGTGTCTGATTATTTTGCCATGCCCCCAGTTTGGAAAGATGTGACAGAAGTACAAGTCTGTATCAGTTTTTACCTGGAAATCAGGATTGGGACCCTGGCTCGGGTCATAGCCATACCTTCCGATAGTCATCAGCCCGACAAATTCCAGGCAGGGGCAGTTGCTGAGGATGTGCCTGACCATATCCACGGTCTGCTCCACAGAAAGCCCATGCTTGCCTGAGAAAACAAAAAGCAAGTGACCGTAAGACCAAGCGCAGGAAGGCTCCTCCACCTGCTCAACAAACACTTGGGAAAGCCTGAACTCCCATCAGTCTGCACTCTGACTGACCCTGGTTCTGAGGACACAGGCACATCAAAACAAATTTCCTGATCCTTCTTTCCAAATTGGTACAGAACCTCTCCTGTAATCTTCCTCATTCGCTGTGCTTCTGCATTCTGGCAGCCTCAGCAAGCCCATGTTGATCACCTCATCATAGAGCAGTTGCTTCAGGGTCCCTCCCTAAACTTCTGTCTCTCTCAGTTTTGCTTCCCTCCTTGAAGACACTGCAGAAAACATGTCTCTGATCAAGCCTGAGGCCATGAAATGCTGATATCTCCTCATGCACATTTTTATAACAAAATGTGAAATCACTTGCTTAACTTGCCCATTTACAGAGCAAGTGCAGCAAAAATGTCATGTGCCCATCCAGCTGTGCTCCCACTCCTCTGCCCTGACACCCTCTGCCCCACTCCTGCATTAGTGTTTGTCCAGTCATTAAGCAGAATTACAGCCTCATGGACAGGCGGAGGTCTACAGTTTCACACCAAGGTCTCAGAGTCAAACCCCTGGAGTTCACATGTTAAAAAGGAAAATCATCAACTAGTACAGACAACTGCAGTTTCTTTACCCCACCAACTGCAAATGCACCAAAACCTGCCACTGCCATCAAGGACTGTTTCACCAAGTTCTTGGCCCTTTCCTCCAAAAATCCAGGGCCATGGAATCATTCCAAAACTAATCTTCCCAAACTCATTGCTCAATAAAATTCCGTGTGGTTTCCAGTCCCAGCTATTACTTTGCAAACATTCCTGACCTACAACCACACATTGATAACGAACCGAGATAACCAAATTCTCTGCTGAAATTCAATGCGAAGCAATTCAGAATAAACAGGGTGACTGCAACTTCAACTCCAGGGCCAACAAGAGTTTGCACCTTCTCAATATCCATTCCCAAGCTTGCTCCAGCATTCGCACTTATCCATCACTTTTCTCTTTGAGAAACTGCAGTGTTGTTCCTGTCTGGGTCTAACCCACAGTGTAGCATGATCATTACCTGTTGCTTCCAGCCCTCACTCAGTTGGTTAACACGTCTCTCAGTCCAATGGTACTGGCTTCAAAACCCACTCCGGAGATCTGAAGATTAAGACCCCAGTTAAGCCACTACTGCACAACTCAAAGTGCTGCCAGGTCACAGAGATCACCTTTCAGATGAGATATTTAGTCAAGTTCTCCTCTGTTCATCCACTGCACTCTTGGAAGATTTCTCCTACTTCCCTGGCTTATACACATCCCTCAAGCAACCCCACATCCTCCTTCAGTCGGTCCCCACTTCATGGTGACACCCTTCACATTATTATTATTAAATAGTGTCAATATATTCACTTCACACTGCCCTCCATACTTCAATATCATCTGCTGCACAATCCCTGCACCACAAGCTGCCTTTCTCTCCTGGAAACCCCCAACCATTTCCACTCTTATCCTCAGTCTCTCTTTCCCACTGCCATCCTTGGCTCCTGGGCCAGTCTTACCTTGCTCTAGAGTATTGCTCCCCTCTGGCTATGCCTCCTGTTCTCTCCTTTCACCTCCAGGATCTGTCTATCTTCTCCTGCCTTCACTCCCATTCTGAATTCACCCTCAAGGGCTGAGCACCATCCTGTGGCTGACATTAGTCACTGCAGGTAGCCCTGCTACTTACAAAGACTATTACCTGCCACCAGATGGGGCCTGGTCAATCTGAATGCACTATATTTATGAGATAGCAGGAACTGCAGATGCTGG